TCTCTCTCTCTCTCTCTCTCTCTCTCTCTCTCTCTCTCTCTCTCTCTCTCTCTCTCTCTCTCTCTGCCACTTTTAGCGGATTTAGGGTACGATGCGGCCGAATTACGCGCCCGAAGGGCTGCACGGCGATGTGCGCGTTCTCGTTTCGCCGCATCGTGTCCGTAGAGGCTCGAGTGAGCCCTAAAGCGAAAAGATTTTTCCACATTTTTCCTGCAATTTCTCGCAAAAATTCCAAAAGTTCACCACCCTCTCTCCGCGCTCCTCACCCTCGCCCCTAAATCAATAGAAATCCAATTAAACGTTAACTCTCCTAATCAGATTTTAATGAAACAAATATTAATTAATCGTGGGCAGGAATGTAGATGTATCGACTGTGCTTATGAGTAATGAATTGTGCGTTTAATGATGGCGACGTAATGCATATTTAAATAATAATTAAATTTTGATGTCATTATGCGAGAAGTATACGGGGTGTCAAATAATTTGTTACAGAGCCGCGGTGTGATCGAACGGGTCGAAGCAGTCGAAAAAGTTGTGCGCGTCGTTTTGTTAATATCACTGCAATACTTACGGTTTCGCGGCTGCGTAACGAATTGTCGGACACCCTGTACATATGCAACACACGTACGCGCAATTTCTCGGTCGTAGTGCGCCGCCCGGTCGGTCGTTGCTCCATTGAAACTCAGGGTTAATCCGAGACGACCGGCGGGTGGCTGCTTTTATCACAGAATCGCTCTCGAAGATACCATCGCGATAAAAGTGCATCAGCCGTCCCTGCTCAGCGAGCTTCCGAAGACGCCGTGACACTTCGCTCGGAATATTTAATGAGACTATTTCCGCCTCTCTCACAACTCCTTCGGCTCGGTTCGACTTTTTGGGTGGAAACCCGCATTAATGTCATCGCACGAACGTCGCGCGGATGATTCGCGAGCCGACTGATGACGGATGAAATCAGTCGGTTTGTCGGGTATCACGAGCGTCGAGCATCATACGAGCGTTGTCCGCTGACTTGGCTGCGCGCGTGCTCGTTGAAAGTCGCAACGTCGCGGAAGCGTCGGGGTGCGCGCGGGGTTATCGATCTTTGTGCGGGCGCAGAAAACGCGAGGGAGAAAATTTCGTCGCGAGAGAGAGAGGATGCAGTGGAAGACGAAAAGCCGACAGCTCGGAGAAACTTGGCACGACGACAGCCTCCTCGAGGCCCCTACAACGGTCTTAAAATTCCTCGTCTATCCCTCCGACCGAGCGAGCACCCACCTATCCACCCTCCGTCGTCGACGACGACGACGACGACGACGACGACGACGACGACGACGACGACGACGACGACGACGACGACGATGCGGCCGTCTCGCTCGTACGCGTTTGCGCCAGCATTTCGGGCCTCTTTCTCTTATTCTCGTCTTCTCTCTCTCTTCCGACGCGGCCCGCGGCGACGGCGCCCAGTTACGGCTTAAGACTTACGACGCCGTAATATTTATCGCGTTTCGACGTCTTTATGCACCCTTAAACTTTAACGCCCGTTCGCCGCCCAGGCGAATTTCGTGCTCTCCGCGGAAACGCGAGCAAGGCCGCTCGCGTCTCCTTGCCCCCTTCTTTTCCATTCCTTTGAGATACCGACGACGGCGGATGCGGATAAGACGAGAAATACTGCGCGTTCTTTCGTAAAGTCCGCTTCGGTCCCGAGTTACGCGGAGTTACCGGCTTTTACATCCGCGCGGACTCGGAGAGACAGGCGCGCGATTAATCCCTTCCCGCTCGCAACTGCGTATCCATAATCGGGGTCATAGTTGTGCCAGAATATTCAAATCCATAAAATTTTGATTTTACAGTTTTTGCGTTACCAACTGGTAGTCTAGACGTCTCACTACATAAAACAGAAGGGGCAAGAGCCTTATGGGCGCCAAAGATCAATTAAAAAACAGTTTTCTACTAGTTGTGTTTTCCACCCATTTTTTAAAGATCAAACTTGTCAACGAATATCCTCAAGGGGATGCTGAAAACCTTACCAGAATACTGTTCTTCTACAGTTTATCTTTCATATCGCACGTGATCATTCATCAATCTAGTTTAATTAATATCTCGAGATTTATTGCGAATATCGCAAAATGGTATGGGACGTTCACTTCTTTCCACAAACATGACGGAGGAGAGTTTGGGACACCTTGTATATACTATCTGCTCTTACGAGCGACGCGCTTTATTCTCACGGTCTGCGAGCTCGTATCACGTGACCTGTTTGAAAACTTTCCGCTCGCCAAATCAAAATATGAAATTATCAGACTCTATTAACTGCATTTAAACCGGCGAGTTACAGCTCTCGCGCGCGTTTTTAAACGCGTCCCTTTTATCGAATTTAAACGACACGCAGGGAGTTATTTCGTTGCGCGCAACGTAACGTAACTTCCGCGCGAGCGAATGGCTGTTTGAGAAATTAACAGAAGAATAAATGCGCTTCATTCGACGCGGCGCGTCGATTGAGCGGTACTTCTTGCAGAAATCGCAAAATTTGCCCCGCCGAATTACGTGCTCGTCGGTAGCCGTCCGCGTTAATAATTATAAGGCGATTATGCGCGCCGATAACGGACGCGAGTCCCACGTGATTGTACCTGCCTTCGTTGTCGAACCGCTTACGTTGAGGTGAGTTAATATCCAGCTCGCGGAGCAGCCGCAGTGTATCGTAGTATATCGCCCACTCTAGGCGTATGATAATCCTATTGCAACCGGATACTCGCGTCTAGCGTATGCTCCAGATAATTAGATGCGCTTCCTTTGATCCTCGTAAGAAGATCGCACGCGCTAGGTTGCGGTGGGTGAAGGATTGATCGGTACGAGATAATGCGCAATCAAGTCATATAAGGTCGCTAGTAGTGACAACGAAGCCAATGCTTAGCCGGAGCTCTGCACGGTAAAAAAGGGGTTTGCTTTTGTCAACCAAAAATCTTGTTGACAGAATTCGGGTTACTTCAATCGGAATTTCTGCGTCGTTCATATTCGACCAGATATTTGGTTAATTCAACCAAACCTTTTTTTCTGTGTGGTACTCAATTATCAGCCAGTCCTGTCCCATTACTGGTGAAGGCCAACGCTAGGCCAACGTATGGCGGTCAACTGCCGGCCAAAGTTCTGTCAGTCAGTACTCTCGGCCAGCACTGACTGATGCCTGGCCCAATACTGAGCCGATTGTGAAATCCTATATGCGACATCATATCTCACGACGACGACAATCTCAGTCCATCTTCGCGGGGGAGGAATTCGCCGCGACCATACCGTTTGTCGAGCTTTTCCGTCTGTCTCTCATTTGCAACTCTGCATCGCTGTCTTCTTATACGCATGCTCTCATGTTACGCTCCTGACTACTGCATCGCGCAAATTGATAAGTGTCGGGAAATTGGCGGGCGTGCAGAGATCGAATAACGAAAGAATAACAGGGAGAACAACCGGAAAAAAAAGGCAGATGACGTTTTCATGCGCGGATTATTGATGAATTCGTAACTCCGCGTGGACACGCGCGCCTCGTTCGACGGCGCAATCAAATAAAGAGCTGAACGATTAATCAATCAAACTGTTATTCGTTTATTCGCTCGGACTGGTCAGTGGAGCAAACGATTATCCGCATGTCCATCTAATCAATGAAGCGATTATATCGCTATTTTTTTATTCGTTTCGATGTAATGAAAAACCTGGAATACGCGCAGAATGTAGCTTTAAAATTAAAAGAGGGAATTAATTAAACACGGCGGAAAGCTTACGAAATTGACACCGATGTCCCTTTCAATATTACATTTCTCATTAAATTATGGTCACACGAGTACACCGCGAATGCGTTGTGGCGAGCTATTTAAATTACTTGAAGACGGTCTTAGTAATTTTATGTTTAATTTCTAGAAATGAGTTTATGCATAATTCATGTCGTGGAGAAAATTGGTGGAAGACAGAGAAGGAGAGAGGTCACGAATATCGTACGCTAAAAGGGAATTTTATGAAAATTTAATGAAAATTACTACAGAATTTAGTGATCGAGCAATAGATCGACATTCTGCAGTAATTGTCTTTCATTTTACACGTGCTACTTCATTCATAATGGCATATTTCAGATACTGAAATGTGCTATTAAAAACTTTGCTATGTTCTCGGCGAAATTTAATTTCTACCGACAGTCTACAACTCCCAGAAAATAAAAAAAAATCAGTAAATTTGAAAAGAATTTATATGAAAAAGAGAAAACCATATCACAGTTGTAATTGACGCGCATTTCACCCAAATTTGTCCCCGACGCCTGGAAAAAAGCAATTAGCGTGGAAATTCGAAATCGTGCCGTCCGATCTCGGCAGCAGCTCTTCTCTCGACCACCCTCAGCTATTTCCGCGCTCGATATCATTCCTCTCTATCATAAGAGAGCTACCAGTTGCACCTTACATCCTTCTCTCGCCATTTACTCGTCCGCGTCGCGCGGCGCGGCAACAAAACGAACCCGACGTCCGATAATTGCCGCATTCTCTGACAGTTAGATTGTCTTGCGAGCAATACCGGGTCTCGCGGTGGCACTTGCAAACTTACACGCTATTGCAATCCGATATTCCTCGCTCTTCGGCGGAGTTGCCGTTAATTTCGCCAACTTAATCGCTCCGTCGTAACCAGACGGACGTGTAAACGCGCCGTGTCCTAGGATCCTGCGGGCTAGAAGTGGAGGACTCGTCATCGGCCAAGGACCGATGGAACATTACCGAGGCATGGGTGGCGTATTTCAGCCTTCGCGAACGCTCGTTTCTTCGTGAGAACGGCTCTCTCTCTCTCTCTCTCTCTCTCTCTCTCTCTCTCTCTC